AATCACTTTATCTCAAATAAGTAAATAAAATATTTAATAAATAAATAAAAATCTGTAATGACTTTAGTAGTTCATTTACATTATTATTATTGAAAATATATTTGGATTTCACTATTTGTTCTTTATTGGTCCTACCTGTTTTATATTTTTTCTTCTTTTTCCCTTTCTTTTGAATTAACTAAATATTTGTGTTACTGCATTTTCTCTTTTACTAGTTGTATATACTATTGCTATCCTTTAACAGTTATTCTAGAGATCGTGCATACATTCTTGACTTAGTATCATGCAGTGTGTATCAATAATTCTACCACTTCCTGGATGTTAAATTCTTAAAACATTTTGACTCCATTTATCCCCTCATGCCCTTTGTCACGCATTTAGTTTTATATATATTTAAACTCCACAAGGCATTATTATAACTGTTTTGTATGGTGTGTACTTATTTAGATTTATCCATATGTTTACTCTTTCTTTCCTGCATTTCTGTTTTTCTGTCTGGAATCATTTTTCTCACGCCTGAGGAATTCTCTTTAGTACTTCTTTTAGTGTGAATCTACTTCTTTTAGTGTAAATCTTCTGGGGATGAATTCTCTTAGCTTTTCCATGCTGAGAAATGTCTTTGTTTTTCTCCAATCTGGAGACTATTTTCACTGAGTATAGAATTCTAGGTTAGTACTCAGGTATTTCTCAACCCCACTTTCCCATTCCATGATTTAAAAAACTTAGCATGCCCCTGATAACTTCCTTCCAGCTCACTTTGACGGACTGCTGCTCAGGCAGTGTCTCCCCATGGTGGTGTCAGGAATGCAGGTACAAGACCCAGGAAGAAATTTGCTTCAGATTCTTTAACTCTCCCACGGCTGTATTCCAAAGGCCTCCTCCCAGGCTCTGACATATACTTCATCTCCCTTTCCTCTTGGGAACTTTCCCATTAATCTCTAGTATCAGTGACTAGAAATAAACAAACACATTATTCAACATGTTCACAATTTTAAGAAAGGTATTAAGTAAATTGGTATATATTAAAATTTTGTGTAAAAAAATTTAAGGTTAGGAAGGGCTTGCTACATTTTCGACAAGACAACTGTATCATTATTAAGCAAGCTCACTTCCCATCTGATTACCAGTTTGATTACTTAGGGGAAGAAATGCCAGCTAGCTGCTATAATAAGCAAGCCTTGGAATTTCAGAGGTCTGACACTTTTGTTTACTTTGTATCCAGTAGAGGTCAACCGGATTTTCAGGGGGCAGACTTTCATGTGGAATTCAGTGAGCCTGGTTCCTTAAATCCCTGGGATTCAGAGTCCTTCACTGGATTCTGCATTCAGCCAGCAGATGAAAGAGTGACCAGAAGATCACGAAAGGCTGGTTTTCGAAGGTGGAGTCTGCAAATGGCACGTGTCACTTCCATTCACATTCCATGGGCCGGAACTCAGGGAATAGTCAAATCTGAATGTAAGCGAGGCTGACAGATGTCATCTAGCTGAGTGCCCAGGAAAAAGAGGAAACTGGGTTAGCGAGCGGTTCGTCTCTATCACAGTAATTCAATTTAAAATCATTAACTTTTTCCAAACCATGCTCAAGAAATTAAGAACTCTTTAATGTATGTTCAATTTGGGCTCAAAGTAACTTACATATGATAAAAAATGTTTACTAAACATGTTTAGTTTACCAGTTTATTAGTTTAGTTTAGTTACTAGTTTAGTAATATTTACTGAAGTGAACTTATCCCATTAGTGTTTTTTTTCCTCTTTAACTAGCTTATACAAAGATCATAAAACTAATGGATTTTGAATAATTTATTGTACAGAATTATCACTAATCAGACCATTGTTCCAAAAATTACCACACTTTACATTAGAGACAGAATACGTCCTGCACTGACCCAGGTGTTTTCTCTCCGCCCCTGCCTTTGGGTCACAGAGCATGGATGCTGAGAAAGTAGAGAAGTATGTTAAGGGACTTACTGCAAATTCCTGTTCCCTTCAGCTGTGCTCTCACTGCTGTTTGTTCACCATTACCTCCCCGTGCTAGTGGTGACCCCGTGCCTTCCCTATACTGGCTGCTCCATTCTTCTCATCTTTTATACGCTTGACACTCTATACCTTGAAGACAAACTTATCACTAAACATGTTTAGTTAAACTAAGTTTAGTTTAGAACTATCTTGTCCCCATTTTCCTCAATCACTCTGCAATATCTAAACTATTACACATTGTGGCAGAGACTGTTGGCTGACGACTAAATGTCCCATTTCCCCTCTTCTTCCTTACCAGCACAACTCCAACTGTATTCCAAGTGATGACGTGTCCAGCTAAAGGACAACATTTCCCAGCCTCTCTTGCAATAGAGTTGGCCTTATAAAAATACAATTGGCCTTATGAAATATAAGCTGACAAGCTTGTAGTTGTTAGATTAATGCCAGCTGCTCTAACAGATAAGTTCTAAATTCTTATCAGCTTATAAAATAGTATTTTTTTATTTGCTTACACAACACCCAAAATGTGTGTTCCTGCCCAACAGCAAGCCTTCTCCACGGTCATTTCAGGACACAAGCTCTTTCTATATGTTGGCTTCCCTTTTCCTAGTACCTCAAAGTCCTTTAAGTTCAGCTCGCAGATGGGAAAAGGGTATGGAGGACGGCATGTAGCTGTATGGTGACAAGAAACGACAAAGAAGGCAGAAAAACATAGTTTATGTGACTGCTCAAGAAGAGGAAACGGATCTGGTGGGCAACTAGCTGTCTCTGCCTCACAACCAAGCTAATTCAATAATGGATTCTGGCTCCGACAAATCAGCAGGCATGATTGGAACAGGCCACAGTCCCTACTCCCTGACTCAGTACATTCCAGGGAAGAAAATTTCATTTAAACATTCCTCCAAGCCAAAGATTAATGTTTCTTCTTTACTTTCTGCCATAACAAGTGTATCACTATTTTTTTCTCTTACTATTGTTGTCCTAAGCCATGACATAAGAATAGTTCCAAATCACAATCAGACTCATCAGCCTTTATGGTTACAAAAAACAAAATAAAGTTTGAAGATGACTGAGATAGGCAAATGGATGAGATAAGCTTACCCTGAATTTGTATTTAAAATCCCCAAAAAGGGGCACCTGTGTGGCTCATTTGGTTAAGTATCTGCTCGGGTCATGATCCCAGAATCCCAGGATTGAGCCCTGCATCAGACTCCCTGCTCAGTGGGGAGTCTGTTTCTCCCTCTGCCCCACACCCTGCTTGTGCTCTCTCTCTCAATCTCTCTCTCTCTCAAATAAAGAAAATCCTTTTAAAAATAAAAATAAAAAAATTCCCCCAAAGAGCCAGAATTGCAAAATGTAACTTGTTGGTTGTTGTTCATAATCACATTTTTTGGCTAAGTACAAGAAGAAAAACAGATGAGGTTTATAAGACATGCAGAGATCACTATCTCACTGCCCTGAACAACAAGTCATTCCATTCACTCCGCAGACTCTAAATCAAAGTCTTCTCCAACACTCCCTTACCATATTTCCTCACTTAATGACATTTACTGACTACACTTGATAGGTGTCACACCTGCAGATTATCGTTTGTTCGACTCATATTACTTTGTATTAAGAGCACGGTTACCACAAGATGATCACCGAAACATTTAAAGCAGATAACTTCTCCATCTCTCTCCTCAATCATATTGCAAGTAATAATTTATCCTTAAACTTGGAAGTTTCCAATTCTTCTAGTTGTTTGTTCTCAAGGTTTTCCTACTAAGAATGTGTGTTATTTTAAATAATTCACCTTCCATATAAATTAGCATGGGCACAGAGAAACTACTGATTTCAAAAGTCAATCACAACTATTTCCTTTAGGTCTTCCTCCAGAGCCACAGCAAGGTACATGAAACAGTTTTGAGACCCAGACTTTTATTTGAGCTGGCTTTTCTGCCTGGTAGTTGAATACGGAAGAATATCTTAGCATTTTATTATCAGAGATCAAAATTGTTTAAGACTCAAGAATAGAGGGGCACCTGGGTGGCTCAGTGGGTTAAAGCCTCTGCCTTCGGCTCAGGTCATGATCCCAGGGTCCTGGGATCGAGCCCCACATCGGGCTCTCTGCTCGACGGGGAGCCTGCTTCCTCCTCTATCTCTCTCTGCCTGTCTCTGCCTACTTGTGATCTCTGTCTGTCAAATAAATAAATAAAATCTTAAAAAAAAAAAGATTCAAGAATAGAGCCTTATCAGGACAAAGAAAAATAGAAGGTATCTTGGTTATTCATTCATGTAGTAAACATTTACTGAGAGCCTACTGGGTGCTAGTGGTGTGTGCTGGGACATGGGGGTGGGAGAACGAGGTTGAAAAAGACGTGACCCCTTCCCTTGAGAGAATCACACCTCAACATGCAAACACACAACACAATATAGTAAATGCTATGGGACATTTGAGAGAGCCCAAGAAAATGGGTCACTTAGGTGCAGAGATGAGAGTGAGGAACTTCTGGGAAGAAACTGAAGAACATTGTTGAGTGAACAGAGATGAAATAATAATTCAAGACTATGCTAAGGAAAGCTAGATCAAAAATGGTATGAATTTAAAAACAGCGTTGAATGCTATCACCTAGTCAAGGACCTGTCTTGCCGAAGGTCTAGATAGGCTCCTCTAAACCCGAGATAGTATAGGTGGAGTGTAAGAGCCACTGCCCATGGGTCTCAGCTGAGATGCCCATCAACACTGTCCTGGTAGTGGTCACTGTGATGTGCCACACAGAACACCTCCCAAACAAAAGGACTTAATCCTCCAGATGCTGACACGTAGCCCTTAGCTGTCAGGCTCCCTGCTCAGTGGGGAGTCCTACAAACCCGGCTTTGTCTCAAGATCCTGGCTGCACCCAAGGCCACGTGCCCTTCCCTTGGGCCCCAGTGCTTGGCCCACCCAAGGGTGTAAAGGCCCTCATCTCCAACTCAGGATAACCTGGGGCCCCTTTCAGCTTCTTAGTTTCTGGTAGGTTTGGGTAAGACTTTCATTGAAACTGTATCACAGAATGACTTACCTCTCCATCCAATCCTGCTTCTGTTTCTTTCCTTTCACAGGTGTCAATCCAAAAGCCCCCCTTAGTAACTATCCTACATGCTAATCTCTATGTCAGGGTCTGCTTCACAGGGAATCGGCCACACTTCCAGCAACATCACTTAGAACCACAAGCAAAATACCAGAAAACCTCAGGATCCAGTGAACTGTCACAACCTATAATTGAGTTAAAAAATGTATTACTCCACCATTTATTTACTCATAGGTCATCACCCAAAGACATTTTCAAAAATTCATGCTGATCTTCAGGGTTTAAGCTACAGCCAAGCTAAAATTGAGAGTATGTTTTCTCTAAGCTCTGAACATACAAAGATTTGGATTTGGATCTACATGTGGACACGAAAGGTCAACCGAGGTTGGCCAAGGTACTTCCACTCCCCAGAATCTCTGAAGGATTTAATCTCTCTCTTTGGCAGCAAAAGACATCAAAATGGAATTTATTGCTGGATGACAGTTTGGGGGACCCTATAAAGCTGAAATCAGAATCAGACAAAATGAAGACTTGACTACACTACCTGCAAATTTTAGCAACAGATGCTGAAATGATATTTGTGCTGATATAGTCACAAGATATTACCCAGCCAGTCTGAAATGCTGTCTGATCCCGCTGGTAGCTCTGCCTCCCAACTTCTGGGCACACACAGGGAATCGCAGAGTTCTTTCTTTTTCTCTCACTGTCTTATCTTCTGTGTTCCTCTTTTTCTCCAAAGCAGAGGCTTAAGGAATCCAAAAGACCCAGATGCCATTCTATCCTCATCACTTATTAGTTATGTGAGCTTGAAGAAGTTATTATCCTGAGTCTCATTTTCTTGACCTGCAAAAAGGGAGATAAAAAAAACTTCTTTGGTGCAGTTGGCAGGAATGAAAATATTAACCCCATTGGCAGAACCGCACAAAGCTGGTCATAGCATCACACCTCCCAGGACCATGAACTAGTAGTGGTTCTCACCTTTGCTGTGCAGCAGAACCAACAGGGGACCTTCAAAAATACTGAAGCTGGGAAACCATCCCCAGGGAGTCTGATCTAATTGGCTGAGGATGCTGACGCATCAAAAATGTTTAAACTCTCTCCAGGTGATTGTACAGTGCAGCCAATGTTGAGAACTACTGCTCTCTGCAGAATCTTTCACTTAAGCCATGTAACTACCCCACGGGTTTAATACAGTTACCTATCCTCCCCTCTTTTTTTACAAAAAAGGAAATTGAGGTTTAGAAAGGTTGAAGATTGTTCAAGCATGTGAAAGTATTTAGGGGCAAAGCTGAGAGTTGAATTCACACAGTATGACTCCAAAAACCTTATCTATCATCAGCCTACTGCTGTGCTCTATCCTACCTACTGAATGTGAAGAACCTTCTTCAGCATGGCTTTGAGCATGCAGAAGATACTCCAAAATTAGTAGCTAATTTGTTCTTTTCTTTTTAGCTTTCCTCTTCTCCATTCTCTGCTTTCACAATCCACAACCTGAAATATTGCTTGCAGTTCATTAGGGCTGAGGGATGGATAAGATTGAGAAGCAGAGTCAAGAAGGATTTAGGGAACACTATTCTTTTTCCTTCTCCTCCCCTTCCTAAAACCAGGCCACGAGCATACACTTGCTTTCTGTTTAAATTCTTTTGAGGTACCTATTGCAGATACTATATTGGAAATATCAGAAACCCAAAAAGAAAATTTTCTATCTTCCCTGCTCAAGTTTAAGTCAATGTTTCCTTTGCCTATGTCAACTTCTATGTCTTCTACAATTACAAAGTCATAATTATATATTCAGATTTGTCCACTCACATTATGCCATGCATATTTTTCCAGATTGTTTTATAAGCCAATTAAGCTGCCTAGTACAGCTCTGCAAATAATGAAGATAATTTACTGTATAACTGGGCCCAAGATATTTTCTTTAAAAGTTTTATTCTTGGGGGCACCTGGGTGGCTCAGTGGGTTATAGCCTCTGCCTTCGGCCCAGGTCATGATCCCAGGGTCCTGGGATGGAGCCCCACATCGGGCTCTCTGCTCAGCAGGGAGCCTGCCTCCCTTCCTCTCTCTCTGCCTGTCTCTTTGCCTACTTGTGATCTCTGTCTGTCAAATAAATAAATAAAATCTTAAAAAAAAGGTTTTCTTACTGGAAAAAAAAGTTTAGTATATTACTCTGAAAACTGATATAAAAATCTGTAACCATGTAAAAGTCATAGGACATGACATCGGCCTTCTTTGATTTGCTGTGCCCTGCTCAGTGCCCACATCCCTCACTGCGATGCCTGGCACCAAAGAGTGAGCACAAAAAATGCATGATGCGTGAACAAATTACACTTTTCTTGCCTGAACAGTAAATCTGTAAAATCAGAATTCTTAGGAGACCCTGAAGTTAAGCCTGAGAACTGAGCAGGGTTAATAACAGTGAAGTGGGCAGGAAAGCAGCCGGAAACCATGGTAAAGGCCAGCTATGCTGGCCAGGAGGAAACATGTGGTTTCCTGAATTATACCCATGCAAGGCCATCAACCTTTGAAGCATGACATATATAAACACTATCCAGGATCATAGCTCTCCCTTCAGTCACTCTTTGGAGTTGTTTCTAAAAAGTTGCTTACATTTGTGGGCTCCCCTCTCCCTGTGCACTAATCTTGTACAGAGGTGAAGACAGCTGTAACAGAACAACAAGGCTGCAAAGAAGTGGAGTAGATATGCTTCAGAGAACACCACTGGACAACATCCTTAGAGGAAATTTCCTAAGCTAGAGTCCATTGGCCCTCCTTTGGGAACCACAGTGGGACTTCAGGAAACTAGGAACACACTATAATTAGTGTGAAATGTGTGTGTGTGCTTATGTGTATGTGTGTGTGCCTGTCTGGAAAGGAGACCTCAGATGTCATCAGATTTTGTGTCTTTTGGTTTTAAAGTCTGCTCCTTCTTCCACTTCATCAACTCAAGTGGTGGTCTTCTAAACCCATCATCTTCATTAAGAGCTGGAGGTGGGGATGAGTAGAAGAAGGTAGAAGACCAGGGAGCTTATCCCACAGAAGGCTTTCTATTAATTGAATCAACAGATGTGAAAAGATTTGAAAGTGCCTAGCATGTATAAGGGCCTATTAATGTTCATGGATGTTATTATTATTGTTATTATTACTCTCTGCCAAACACATTGTGTTTTTACAACTTCACAACAACTCTAGGAGGTCAGCATAAATCCCATATCCTATTTGCCAGGAGATTTACTTAGAGAGATTGAGTAAACTAACCCAGGGCCACAGATATCCAATTCCAGAACTATCCAATTCCAAAGCTTGGACTGTTATCTCTACCCCATGGCCTGCATTTCCAGCCAAGCTTTCAGCCTGGAGGCAGCTTCTCTGGCTTTCACATCGAAGGTCAAGAGTCCTGCTCCCTCCCCCTCAATCTATCCATCAAAACAGGCACTGGTCATAAGAATAAGGTTCTTGAAACCAAGCATAATCTACTTGTTTGTGTAATATGGTCCCAGTAATCCCACTCAAATTCCACACTCAAAGCCAGTTGCTCTCCCACCTTATCAAGGGTTAAAGAAAGAAATCACACTTATCAGCATGAACTCCCTTGCCTCCATGATGCAAGGGAACAAATGCTTTCCAGTAGTCACAAAACAGGGTGAGAAAGCTCTAAATCAAGTCTACTGTTTTCTGGCTTCAAAATCCATGCTAAAAACTGCAGTTTAATTTCTGCTACTAAAACAGACTTCCTAAAACAGGTGAGAATCCTGACAACTGTATTGTAACGAGCACTCCTAGGTGTCCGCACTTTACAATGTTATCCCTACGGCTCAGAAAAGCCAAGCAGGCTGGCTAGAGGTTACTTCTTGAGAAGTTAAGCAAGTCCCTCAGGGACACAAAAGCAGTAAGCGACAGGCAGAAGCAGGACTCGAACCCAGGTCTACATGATAAACAGCATTAGTGCTCTTAACTATACTCCTCCTACCGTCTACACACAACCACTGCGATTCATGGTATCCAAGGCTGGCATCTCTTCTTGGTTTTTCCTGGAGCCACTTCCCTGAAATCTAGCCAACCTCTCCAGAGGAGAAGGCATGGAAGCAGGACCGATGGACTCTACAAACACAAGATCCGGGTTCCAGGTCCACTTCAGCCCTTACTGGCTCTGTTATCTTGGGCAAAGAGAACTTAACCACCCGTGTCTCACTTTCCTCACTTAATAAGTAAAGATCATTGTTCAGCTCGCGGACATGGAGGACGATGGGCGCTCAGGCTTAAGTATTATGCAATTGTGGGTTACCTTTATCCCTCCTTACTCCACGAATTCAAAAGCTCGTGGTTTTTCTCAGCCTCCCCTCCGCGCGCCTCTCACGAGTTCCGCCGCCACCTCCTCCTCACGCCTCTCTCCCCTCCACTCCAGCAGTTCTCTTGCCTAGTAGGGAGGACCCACCTTGGCTGCTCAAACTCTGGCGATGTTTCTTTCCTTCCGACTCTGGGCACCAAGGGCTGCGTCTCCTGGGGGCCGGCGCGTCAGCGTGGAGATCTTTGCTCGGCTGCCGCGGAATCCGCGATGTCAGTGCGCGGTGCGCACGCTGGCGCGCGGCCCGCCCCGAGAGGCGGGTTGTGACCAGAGGGTTTAGATAGGAGGCGCCGATGGTGAGGAACACCCCCGCTTCCGTGGAGCTGCCTCTGCAGCGCAGCCTCCCGTCCCGAGCCGCGCGCGGAGCCGCCAGGGTTTCCCACACGCAGACGCCCGGGCCCTGGCCCTTCCGCAGCCTCGCTCCTGCCGGCCGCGCTGCCCGCCATGCGGCCGCCGCTCTACCGCTGTCACAACACCACCTCGGTGGAGAAGGGCAACTCGGCGGCAGTGGGCGGGGTGCTCTTCAGCGCGGGCCTCCTGGGCAACCTGCTGGCCCTCGGGCTGCTGGCGCGCTCGGGGCTGGGTTCGTGCCGGCCGCGCCCGCCGCCCTCGGTCTTCTACGTGCTGGTGTGCGGCCTGACGATCACAGACTTGCTGGGCAAATCCCTCGTGAGCCCCTTCGTGCTGGCCGCCTACGCGCAGAACCGGAGCCTGTGGGGACTGGCGCCCGCGTCGGGCAGCTCCCTGTGCCAAGCCTACGCCTTCTTCATGTCCTTCTTTGGGCTTGCCTCGACGCTGCAGCTCCTGGCCATGGCCCTGGAGTGCTGGCTGTCCTTGGGGCACCCCTTTTTCTACCGACGGCACATCACCCTGCACCGCGGCGCGCTCGTGGCGCCGGTCGTTGGCGCCTTCTGTCTGGCTTTCTGCGCGCTGCCCTTCGTGGGCTTCGGGAAGTTCGTGCAGTACTGTCCCGGCACCTGGTGTTTCATCCAGATGGTGCACGAGGAGCGTTCGTTGTCGGTGCTGGGCTACTCGGTGCTCTACGCCAGCCTCATGGCGCTGCTGGTCCTCGCCATCGTGCTGTGCAACTTGAGCGCCATGCGCAACCTCTACGCGATGCACCGGCGGCTGCGGCGGCGCCCGCGCTGCGGCACTCCGAACCGCGTCGAGCCGGGGCCCTACGACAGGGAGGCGGCCGCGCAGCCCCTGGAGGAGCTGGACCACCTGCTGCTGCTGGCCCTCATGACCGTGCTTTTCACTATGTGCTCCCTGCCTTTAATAGTGAGTCCCTTCGCGCCGACGCTTTGGGGGCCCTGGAGCGCGGCCGGGCGGGAGGGAAGGGTGGAGCGTGTCGGACGCCGCGCAGGAGCTGCGCCCTCGGCCGCGACGGTTTGTGGTGGCGCTCCCCAGATCCGGTTCCCTCCACAGCCCCGACGACGCAGAACAGAATTTGTTGAGCCCGAACAGGGAAGGGGAAGACCGAGTCTGATGGTGTCTTCCTAGCCCCGCAAAACTTCTCCGGTTAGCAGCACGCCCTTCTCTCTTCCTCCCTCTGGGAAGATCTCGGGGTCTTTCTTGCGCTTCAGAACGTGGTTCCTCCTTGGCAGGAAGAGTCCTTTCCCGGCGGCTAGGTAATGTTTTATTTCTTAGACCCGCCCATGATTTCAAAGGCATCAGATATGGGCTAAGGTACCTGGTAGTTTTCCCCCAGGTGTCGACGCGGAAAGAGAGTAAGGGAAGGTGTGATCATGCCAGGGCGATTCGCACAGGTGACGGACTAAAGATAGATTTAAACACTCTTACGGAAACTTTGAGGAGTGGCGGCTGCTGTTCCTGGTGCTGCCGCCGCGGAGGATGGTGGCGGTACGGGCGGAGAGGCTGTTTGGACAAGCAGGTGTGTAGATACGGTTCAGCCAGGGGTTTCGTTTTGATAACCTGCCTTGACAGGTCTTGTGCCTGTCTCGTCTAGCGAGGTGACATGAAAGTCATTATCTCGGGTTTCAGTTTACAGACGGGGTTGGTGGTGGAGATTGAATTACCGAGGTGTTTTGAAGGCATCTCCCGCTGGCGTCCGGGCAAAGACTTCTGGCAGCCGCTGATGCTGAGAAGTCTTTTTGAGGGTTGCTCCTCTCCCCCAGCCCCAGTGTACTTGTTCAACATGAACAACGTTTAAATAAATTCATTGCCTGTTCAGCGCCTTTGAACGCTGAGACTTCTGTGAATAGAAATGTTAAGTTTCTTATGGCAATGTAGCAATCTTGGATGTCACTTTCAAGGTTGGATAAAGGTGAAATACATGATTTTCCTTAGACGAAGGCCTTGATATGTGGGAGAAGAGTTGTTTGTAGCATCATCATGCAGGGTTAAGATCAGAATTACCAAAAATGTACAAATCTATATTTCTATGTATAGAAAAGATACTGACGTAGATGTTTAGCAGTAGTTCTTGAACTTTAGCCTGCTGGGAATCACCACTCGGGCTGGTTGGGCCCCACCCTCCAGAGTTTCTGATTTAGGTATTTTTGAAGGATTCTTATATTTTTTTTAATGATTTTGTTTATTTATTTGACACACAGAGAGGGATCACAGGTAGGCAGAGCAGCAGGCAGAGAGAGAGAGGGGGAAGCAGGCTCCCTGCTGAGCAGAGAGTCCTGGATGCGAATGCGGGGCTTGATCCCAGGATCCTGAGACCCTGACCTGACCCCAAAGCGGAGGTTTAACCCACTGAGCCACTCAGGCGCCCCAGGATTCTTATTTTTAACAAGTTCCCAGGTGAGGTAAAAAGCTGCTGGTCCAGGGATCTAATCTTGGCAAACCACGGCCCACAGTCCAAATTCATCCTACTGCTGTTTTTGTATAGTGAATGAAATTAAGAATAGTTTTGGCAAATGAATCGATTTTGCAATCAATTTGATGATAGTGTACAGGAACAGGAACTCTAAGCCCCAATTAACTCAAATACTATGTCAAGAAAAAAAAAAGATTTTGTTTTTCTCCAGAGTAGATATGAATTACCCCCAAAAAGTACTTAATTAATTTTTTAAAGATTTTATATATTTATTTATCAGAGAGAGCGAGCGTGCGAGCACAGGCAGCAGAATGGCAGGCAGAGGCTGAGGGAGATGTGAGATGTGGGACTCGATCCCAGGACGCTGGGATCATGACCCAAGCCAAAAGCAGCTGCTTAACCAACTGAGCCACCCAGGCATCCCCAAAGTGCTTAATTATTATTACATTTTAAATTTCATCAATGAAAGTTGTGGAAATGTGTTTTCGCTCTTGTTATAAAAGTACCTACCAAATATTCACCATTTGCCCCTTGATCTATAAAACTTAAAATATTTACTCTTGGGCTCTTTACAGAGAATGTTTGCAGACCTGTGCTCTAAACTCATAGCCTTACTTACCTATGCTGTGAAAAAGCAGACAGTAGCCAAATGCATGGATATTATGTCCTCAGTTTGAATGTCTTAGTAATAATAATGCAGAAAAGAACATAATAGAGCCTAATACAAGAACATTGCATTTGGACATGTCTCTCAGGGGACTTGAATAACTGACTTATAGGGAATTGTGAAGATGGAAGGAAATAATGGATTTGAAAATGATTTTATAAAGAACTATAACATTCCAAAGATATGCAATGTAGATAGCATTCCTCACAGGAACTATAATTTTCTAGAAAGGATAATGGCTTTAACATAATACATGGGTTTGAATTAGTCTTTCTCCCTTATTAACTGTGACAGTGACTTATTTATCTTTTCTAACCTCAGTTTTATTTTTTTTTTAAAGATTTATTTATTTGACAGAGAGTGAGACAGCGAGAGAGGGAACACAAGCAGGGGGAGGGGGAGAGGGAGAAGCAGGCTCCTCGCTGAGGCTACATATGAAGGGAGAAAAGAACCTTAAAAAGAAACCTTGCTCATAGCATGAATATTGTATTTCATTAAGCTAATGAAAAGTGTGCTGGGGTTTGATTTTTAAATTAATTTTACTATAATGCTGCATTAGAGCAAGATACTTCCCCAAATTGAATTTTCAAATTTCCACCTTGAAAACTTTCTCAGGAAGAAAATACAGAGAATATGGGATCAGCTTTAGAAGTTGTTTGCAGTACATTCTCTAATGCATAAAACGTATTTTCATCAAAATTAATTTTACCTTAGAGATCTACGACATATTGGAGGTTGGTGGGGGAGCGGGGACAGATGAGAGAGGGATCTAATGATAAATTGGACATAATAGCTTGAGAGGTTGACAAGCCAGGAGAAGATAAGTATGAGCTTGTGTAATTGCATATATCCAAATCCATGGAGTCAGGGACGTGATGGAGGACATCCTGCATGTGTTGAGATGACTCATGTATGTATTTCATTCAGGTGGGCAAAAAGAATGGGTGGGATGCTCCTTTCAAAGGAAACTGATAAGAGGTATGTAAGGGATGGTGGGCAAGCCATGGGCCCAGGGAAAAGGGTTGAAACTGGATTTCAACCAGAGCAGCTAGAGCAGAAGATGAGGTCTAGGGTGTTGTGATGGATAAACTGGGTGGAAGGGGCATTAGAATCCAGAGAGCTCTCCTCCGCAGGGATGTCCAGCTGCATGAGTCTCAAGCAAATTGACAGCAGCAACATTTTTTCATGGACTCTCAGATCCAATAGAGGGAGCTCTTCTCACACCAATTCCCTGTGTAAATTGAACTACTTTAAACATGTGGGGTGTATATTCTGAGGTTATTCACTAATCTAGCCATCTTTTATAGGAGCAGTTTATAAAGTGTGTTCTAGAGGATAGATTGAGCAACAGAGGTTTTTTGAAAGTCTAAATTATGTTCACATTGATGCCTTTTTCAGAATTAATAGAATATGTACTTAGATCACTGTCATAAATAAATTAATTATTGTCACATTTTTAGTAAACTCTAAAAATAAAAATTAAATTAAAAAGCCAGGTGTAGAACAATACATTTCTAATATAAATCAGGTGACTTGAAAATACAGATAACCTAATTATATGCAATAGAATTGACATGGATATATAGCGCATAGAAATGAAATGATTCTAGTTATGTAGATGTCATTTCATTACTCAGATCCCAACTAATCAAGTATTCTGAAATAGTTGGAATTGTTTTAGGCTGCCCTCCACTTTCAAGAGGAAGGAGCAAATGCAAAAACAAACTTATATGAAGTATTTGCTTTTTTTTTTTTAAGATTTTATTTATTTATTTAACACACACACACAGAGAAATCACAAGTAGGCAGAGAGGAAGGCAGAGAGAGAGGGGGAAGCAGGCTCTCCGCTGAGCAGAGAGCCCGATGCGGGACTCAATCCCAGGACCCTGAGATCATGACCCAAGCCAAAAGCAGAGGCTTAACCCACCGAGCCATCCAGGCACCCTGAAGTATTTGCTTTTTAAATCAGCTTTAGTGTAGAGCCTATTCTCAATTAATCAAATTCAGCATGTAGCTGGTACCTACAGTGTTCAAGACACTATAGTTCATTGTGGGGTTGTAAAATAAATAAAATACCACATCTGCCCACCAAAACTGAATACTGGATGAGGGATGGAGTGATTGGGGCCATAAGAGAGTTTAGAGGAGAAAAGGAGTCACTACTAATTGATAAAATAGCAAATTTTGAGTTCTTATTATGTGCTAGGACCTGTTGTCAAGGTCTTACTCATACCATCTTATTCAGACTTCTAACAGTTACAAAAGTAAGATAGGTACAGTTTTTCCTGTTGTGTAGATGAGGAAATGGAATAACTTGCCCAATTTCACACAGCGTGTGAGAGGATTTCATCCAACCCCATAGTCAGACTCTAAAGCTAATGGGCTTAGCCACTACCTCAAAGAGGCTTTGAAGGGCATAGTATTTGAGACAGACCTTGAAAGGAGCTAGGATTTGGGCATGTAAAATCCAAAAGATTTTAAAGTAAAATGTTCAGTTTCTACATCTGTGAGATGGAGATAACAATCCTCCTCACTTCAGAGGATTTTTATGAGGGTGAAAAGAAGTTTTTAAAATAAAATGCTCAGAACAGTGCCTGGATATAGTAAGCTGTACATGGGCACTAGCCATTATTATTAGTAATATAATCAATGATTATGGGAGAAGGCATTCAGATATGAATGCATCTTTTTTTTTTTAAGATTTTATTTATTTGAGAGAGAGTGTGTGAACACAAATGGGGGGAGGTGCAAAGGGAAAGGGAAAGAGACAAACATACTCCCTGCTGATGGGGAACACAACACAGGGCTCGATCCTAGGACCCTGAGATCATGACCTGCACCCAAGTCAGAGGCTTAACCGACTGGGCCACCCAGGTACCCCATAAGTATATCTTCTTAATGGGAATTATATCTTCTTAATGGAAATGAGATGGGAATATCTGAGCCTACTGAAATGCTCTATAAAAATGAGAGCACAAGGTAAGGAACAATTATGGGAAAACACATCCCATATTCCTTAACTGCCCCAAATGGGTCTGGTCTGGGCAGTTATTCATATCCCCTTCCACAGATGTTGAGTTTACATATTTTCTGTCCCATTAGAGCCCATTTTGTCCCATTATGGATTTAGAATCTCAGTAAGCATGGGGAACGGAATAGTTGGCCTCCAGCAGAGTGGGAGGCAACTGTAGTATGAATTGAAGTGTTTGCCATTTTTGGCTCAATGGCAGGTAAAGCCATGGGAGAGGGCAGTTTGCATGGCTCCAAGGAAGCCAGACACCTTAGGCAGGATCAAGACAATAGGGGCAGTCAGGCACAAATAAGTGGGCTTATATTTCTGTGTGTGTGTGTGTGTGTGTGTGTGTGTGTGTGTGTGTGTATGTGTGTGTGTGTGTTCTAGTCTGAAAAGAGAGTGTCAACCACAGAAAGGTAACCATTATTCTAAGAATAAGTAATTCACAGGAGTCAAACAGGTCCTTTTATTAGGCTCCTCCAATCTTACTGGACTATTTCCTGTCTCTTTATGTTGAATAAAAGTATCATTGTTGTCTCCGTAACACGTGACGTTCACAAGTAAGGCTTATTTCTGGGCTAATAAGAAGACAGGAAGCACACAGAAGAAAGAAAGGAGAACGGAAGAAAAGAGAACCTCTGTGTTTTGGGGAGTGTGCTGACCCTGTTTGTAAAAGGTTTGGTAGACTGGGGCACCTGAGTCAGTAAAGCCTCTGCCTTTGGCTCAGGTCATGGCCCGGAGATCCTGGGATGGAGCCGACTTCGACTTCGGGGGCGGGGTGGGGGGTGGTCCTTGCTCAGCGGGAGGCCTGCTTCTCCCTCTGCCTGCTGCTCTCCCTGCTTGTGTGTGAACGCGCGCGCTCTCTCTCTCTCTCTGACAAATACATAAATAAATAAAATCTTAAAAAAAAAATTCAGTTGACTGGATATGCCCCACCTCAGCTCTTCCTCTGCGTGGCGGGGACCTGGACACTCCAGGCCTGCAGCATCACAGCAGGCGGAGCAGCCTCCAGGGCCTGAGACAAGGGCTCCCAGGAGTACCTCCCTTCTACTCCCCTTCAGCTCAGCCCTGCATCTGCTGGCTGCCTCACTCACCCCCATCACCGCAGTAGATTTTGCGGCTAATACATCTCTCCAAGATGAATCTTCCAAACCAAGTTGCCATGTTCATACAAAATTAATGTTTTTAAAGTAAGGTTAAGTGCATTTATTTCTTCCATCAACCTTTCAATATCATAATGGAATGTTTTTCTTTAAAACAGTATCGTGCTTACTATGGAGCATTTAAAACCGTCCATGAGAAAGATGGAAACTCTGAAGAAATGGAAGACCTCCGAGCCTTGCGTTTTCTCTCTGTAATCTCCATTGTGGACCCTTGGATTTTCATAATTTTCAGAACACCAGTATTTCGGATGTTTTTTCACAAGATTTTCATAAGGCCTCTTATGTACAGAAATTCCTGCCGAACTAATGTGGAGTCCAGTCTGTGACACTGTTTTACTACCCAGTCTCTGGTAAGCTGAGGAATATGTTACATTTTCTGTCAAAGAACCATGTTTAAAGAAAAAAACTTAAAATTTAAGTTATGTCCTATAACAAAACATTGAAAAGTATTTTCAAAACTATATGATAACATCTTTAACAATGTGTATTCACTTTCTGTTCATGAGCCAGTCCAGTAGATGTTTTTGAATTCTTAACAGCAACTACAATTTCACATATTGTAACCTGTTAAAAGTCTTAAAGTGATGACATTAATTGTTCCAATGTTTGTGCTTGGAGTCCCTAATTTTTTAGAGAGGTCTAGAGACCTCAGGGTCTTTATTTAAATCCAAAAGAAACACCACTGTTTATAATTATGTGATATGTGTTCTTAAAATTTCTTACCCTCTTCATTTCTAGTGAAACCTGATTTGTTTATTCTGTATGACAATAGCCTGAATTACAGATGCTCCACAGAGAAGTGAGGTGGGGAATACAGCCAGGTCAGGCTGTATTGTTTTGTGTCAGGGTTTGGAGAGACTTTCCCAGCCACCCTCTGGAGGCTCATGTAGGGAGGAGATCCATAAACAAGTAGACACAAGGCAGGGTGTGACTACAGCCCAGAGAAGAAAAATTAGTTTTTCCTCTTTTGGAGTCTAGGTTCTTGGGTCTTACGGTATCAAAATTTGGGAGTGGGTTACAAAATGTTCCAATTTCTGGAAACTTCATTTTATAAGTTTATCATATTGACAGATTATTTGCAGGAGGGATCTATGCTTCTTTGAAAAACAGGGATGTATGACTTACCAGAGAATCATGTTTACTGCGTTTGGCTGCATGAGGCAACAGGGTATTCAACACAGAGTAAAGCCCACCCAGGACTCAGTCAACCTCATTCGAGGGTAGGTGGTAACAACAACCTTAACGTCTACCTATTAACAGCCATTATTCTGCTCTTTGTGGAAACCGTGAGATCATGTTGAGGTTCCTGAGAGCTGTGCTTTCAAACCTAGAGCAGGATGTGGCTCAAATGGAGCACAACCAAGCACTTTAATCGTACATTTACATGTTTACAAAGGTTTACAACACTACAGCCAAAAGGAAGAAGAGGGGAAAATACAGCTGCGGCTAATAAACCAAACAAGAAACTCTAAGCCCATTTTGTAGGTAAGAACTTCCACCTTTGGTAAAAGAACATATGGGGAATATTAATTTTCAGCCACTCTGGGGTCCCTTTGTACTCCATCACACTCAGACTCTGAGCTGGAGAGCTGGTACATTTGAATAGTCCCAGGACCCCCACTCAGCCATCCCTTCCAAAGATAAGAATATTTGCCTTATTTCCAGCTTAGAAGCAACCCCACTGAGAACCCCAGAGAGCAAACCTCTGGTTTGTCTCAGAAATATATTAACTTGGATATATGTGTGTGTGTGTTTGTGTGTGGTATAACAAAACTGTGAAATGGCCAAATCAGGAATATACAAGCTGTAATTTACAGTATCACATGACAAAAAGTGCATTTGTTTTCAAGTTTAACTTTCACTTGTATATTTAATGTGTAAATATAATATGTGTTGTATTGTCAGAGGAAGTACCTCTTTTTTTGTGTGTTTTCCTTTTGGAAGGTTAACTATGGTAGCTATCAAGCCATCAGATGAATCAATAAAAACAATTTTATAGTATCTTGCAGAGGAAGTTTCTTTAAATGAAAGAAACGTGTTTAGCTTTCTTTTCTGAATAAACAGTTGCCAGTAATATTTCATTCTCTAGCAGTTTAACAGTGTGAATTTTTAATGTGTGAACTTTTATATGCTCTTCAATTCACATTTCTATTACTCTAAACAAAGCTACTTTAAAGAGTAGCTTTATCCAGGGAACTTAGTGATCCTTTTTTTTTTTAAGATTTTATTCATTTTATTTGTCAGAGAGAGAGAGCACAGACAGGGGAGCAGCAGGCAGAAGGAGAAGGAGGCTCCCCACTGATCAGTGAGCCCGATGTGGGACTTAATCCCAGGACCTTGGGATCATGACCTGAGCCAAAGACGGACGCTCAAGGGACGAGCCACCCAGGCATCCCTTGGTGATCCTTTCTGATAAATACAAAATGTAGATTATACCATCCTGATGAAATCCATGTGAAGTTAGAAGTCAGCTCTTCAATAGTCTTTTAAGTCTTTTCATTTATTCATTAGATCATTAAATATGTCTTCATTGACTCATACCTTGTGCCAGGCAATTGGTTAGGGGCCAAGGAAAAGAATACATAAGACACAGCCCTGGCCTGGGAGTTTCTCGTTGTCGAGTAGGGGGGGACACACAGCATAAGCAGTTATAGCAGAGTCCAGGAGTCCAGGAGTAGATGTGCACACACAGTCCACAGAAGAGGAGGTGTGAACTAATGGTTGTGTGGAGGATGTCAAGAGAACTTTACAGTGACAGGATGCTTAAGTCAACTATTGAAAACAACTAGCAAGTTTGACTCTAGCTGAAAGACCCCAGGAAAGAGTTTATAAAAGGAGAACTACATATGTTTAATAATGTAGAAAAATTTCCAGTCTAATCAAAGAAATGCACAACTAAAATCAAATTATCAAGGACAACCCCCCCTGAGTTTATGAGCCTCAATAAGAGAGAGGCTGTTTGTAAGTAAGAGGAACATGACTGGTGAGTTTATAAATTTGACCACCTTTTCTGGATAGCAACCCAATGGCATGTAACAAGAATCTAAGGGCTCTTTTCTACCATTCCAGTAATCCCACTCTAGAATTCTCTAGAATAATCAGAGGAGCTGTCTTAGTTATGTGCTAAACTCTTCTTTGTAGCATTATGTATTATAGGAAAAATACGAAAAGGAAACCATCTAAAGACGAACAAGGATTAAAACAAACCAGAAATACTATACAGTTGGTCTTTAAACAAATTTAAACTGTGCAAGTCCACTGATTTGTCGATTTATTTTCAACAAATATATTGGAAAAATGTTTGGATATTTGCAACAATTTGGAAAAAGTCACTAACGAACTGTGTAGACTAGACATACAAAAAATTTAAGAAAAAGTTATTATAAGAATACAGTATATAACATATAACATACAATATAAGTGTTAATTGAGTCTTCAGGTTATCTGTAAGGCTTCCAGTCAGCAGTAGGGTATTCATAGCTAAGTTTTGGGGGAGTCAAAAGTTACACATGAGTTTTTGACTATAAGGACAGAGTTTGCGTCCCTAACTCACTATGTTCAAGGATCAATTGTAAACACACACACAAACACGAGAATTATGTAGCCATTAAAAAAAAGATGTTTTCAAATAATTTATAAAAGTTGAGAAAGAATCTTACAATGTAATATTAGATGAAAAAAGCACAATACAAACTTTTAAGGTATGATCCATAAATATATATGCATAGAAAATACCTGGAAAAAATCAATCAAAACATCAGAAGTGTGAAGCACTGTTAACCTTCTAATACAGACTTTCCCCATAATTCTTTGCATTTTCCAAGTTTTAAATTAAGTCCACGTTTCTTTTACATAAAATTATTTTTTAAAAGAATGACTAGAAATTGACCAAGCAACCATAGGGGAAAGGCATGAAGGAAGGAAAGGCTTTCTAGTTTAAAGGAATTGTATGTACAAAGCCATTAGGACATGTCCAGGCTTAGTTAGTAGCTCCATTTGGCAGAAGCTTGGGAATGGTGAGCAAAGGTGGCAAAAAAGCTGAAAAGAGAGACAGGTTTCTCATAGCATATAGAATGTTGGGTGAGTGGTGGAAGGTTGGAGACTTGGAAGCCAGTGTGCAAACAGATTGGAATTTGAGGAAGATTGTGCTGGTGGCATGAACTGTGGGTGGGACAGGAGGAGCACCAGGTGGAAGGGAGAAGGTGTGCTGGAGCCCCATGCGGTTGTGCAGTCCGTGCACTAGACCAGGGCGCTAGCTAGGTGAGCGGGACTGAAATACAGCCCAGCCTTCAGTTCAGAGGAATGGGCCCCTTTTTATGATCTTTCTACTTGGAGGGGCACAGAGACCCACATACACAGGCCCGGGAGTGCCCAGCTGCAAGGGAGGGAAGCAGGTGAGGAGGAGCTGAACTCAGGCAATAGGAAGGGAGATGTGATTCATACAGCGTTTTAGTAGGTAGAGCTGACGGGAAGGATTCCAATTTATGATTCAGTCAGGCCTTTTGTTTCTCTTTCAGTTGCATATATTTGGCCATTTTCTGCGTCTTTGTTTCAGTATTCTCAAGAACAGGTAGGAAAGGGGGAAATTCTGAGAAAAGTCCTCCTTCCCCCTACTTTTTTTTATTACATTGCCAGTTCTCTGGAACAGAGGGTGGCAGCCACTGATTCCAGTGAAGTTGCTGGATTACCTGTGGCTTTTAATTACATACTACCCAGCCAAGATAACACATGGCCGCCTATTAGGATGGTTAATTTAGTTCCAGTAATCTGTCAAAGGCTGACTGGGCCAGGTATTCTTGAAAATTTAGGGGAGAGAAGGAATCCCACAAACAGTAAGCACTTGGAGCACCCCAGACACTCACTAGCCACACAGCCTGCTTGCACCTTTGACTGAAGATCTCTGTGTTCCAGACCAGTGCTGCTTAGCGTCAGCACCTCCTGGAATGTGTCCAGCCCCACCTCAGACTTACTGAATCAGAGTCTCTTAGGGTGGGCCCAGCAAATGGTGTCTTCACACGCCCTTTTCGTGATCAAGTTTGAGAACCTCTGCTCCATGCAAAAAGGAGAGAACAACAACAAAAATCTGCAATAGACTCCGTTCCTAATGTTTCTCTGACCTGATTCTCAGATCTTTTCAGCTGCAGCTAATCACTCACACCTGACTCCCAATAGCATTTTTTACTTGGAATGTTCTTAAGGTAGTTACAGTATTTCCATATAGGCAGCCATCACTGACCCTTTCATATGCTCACTACCAATGGCATGATGAGACTTTGGCCCACATGTGTTGCTTCGTAGACTCCTGCAGATGCACCTTGGGTCTAAGGCTGACAGTGGTTCTGTTGTGAAAGAAAACCAACTAAAAGACATTCATTCACAGAAATATTATCAGAGATGATATATAAAGGCGAGTTTTCATTTAGAATTTAATAGTTTTTTAGCTGTGAGACTAGAAATCTCCAATAAAATATGTAAAGCTATTCTTAAACTTTTATAATTTAACTTTTTAAAATATTTTTAAAAACACATCATACATTTCATCTTCCCTTCCAGTCTTTAAAAGGTGGAGGGGGGGGCTAGATAGTACCTATTTTTCTTTTTTTTTCCCTTAATAACTAACAGGGACTATAGAAAGGTTAAAAATATGTATCGAATAAAATGTGCTCTCTCCCATAACTTCTGAAAAACATTAATCATATTCAATAAGAGGCTGTTGTAACTTGGTCAGAGAGCCCTCTATCTGACAGGCATGTGCTTGTTCCAGCATATAAGACTTTTCTCATAGGCCATCCAAAGGTGAAAATAATAAATGCAGGAGAAAATATTTTTGTTCCATATTTTCCTGCTGCTGCACATTGTGGAAATTAACATGTGTTTTAGTTTTATCCAGGAAATGCAAGCTGTAGTTAACAATGTAAAAAATTTAGTAGGCAATTTTAAGATTGTAAAAGCAATTTTGCCTTACAGGAGTAGACTGTTTTCTGCCCGTTTTTTTGTTTTGTTTTGTTTTGTTTCTTTTAGGATTTTGTGTATTTGACAGAAAAAGAGATCACAAGTAGGTGAGAGGCAGGCAGAAAGAGAGGGGAAGCAGGCTCCCCGCCAAGCAGAGAGCCCAATGGAGAGCCCCCATCCCAGGACCCTGAGACCATGACCTGAACCAAAGGCTGAGGCTTAACCCACTGACCCATCCAGGGGTCCCTGTGCATTTTATTGAATAGGTCTCATGAGTGAGGCTGAAATTGTTGGTCTGGCTATTCCCAGACCTGCCTGAAGGTGGAGTAAAGCTGAGCTCATAGCTAACAGATGGCATATAATTAGGCTTGTTCTCCCTGGCTTTCCACAACTCTCACACTTGTTGAAACAAATCAGCAACTCTCACCTGATATCAGCTAGGTGAAGATTCAACCTTCCAGACAATTTTTAAAACTGCATGCACTTGGGAGTCAGTCCAATCTTAAGAATATTTGCAGTGAAGTTCAGAATCCATCATGCTCTGGTTACAGAGTGTATAGAATCAAATATAGGGAGAATAGGAAATAAACTTGATTTTTCTTTCTTTTGCTACTTAATTGCTAAAGCCGAAATCAATTTTATATCAGTACAAAATAGGATATGAAAATAGTAAGTGCCAGGCAACGTAATTCATAACGAATTGGGAAGGACTTCTTCAATTTTCCCCAATTTAAAGCCCATCCAGAGAATTCTCGATTAGGTTAAGAAGACAAAGGGCAGTCAATGATTTACTGATATGATTGGCACATAAAAAATAAAATGAACCCCCAAAAATAAAATGGGACCAAAGATCTATCCTTCAAATATGAATAAAAGTAGTATCAGGCCAAGTAGAATTTAAGGCAGTAAAAGTTTTAAATGGTTAAGTGGTTAAAAAAATCCATTTGGGGCTATAAGGTGCAATCCGTAGTGAATACCTTACAGCATGGACTTATTTTGGCAAAATAAT